TTTCTTGAATTTTTCAAGTCTTGTTTTGTGTCTTATCATGTGGTCTATCTTTGAAAATGTTCCATGTGCATTTGAAAAGAATATGTATTCCGCTTCTCTGGAATGAAAGGTTCTATAGATATCTCTTAAGTCCCTTTGATCTAAGGTGTCATTCAATTCCAAAATATTCTTGTTGATACTTTGTTTGGAACATCTATCCATTGTTGACACAGGGGTGTTAAAATCCCCTACTATACGTGTGTTACTCTCTTTCTTGAAGTCCTCCAAGATATTCCTTATATATTTGGGTGTTCTTATGTTGAGTGTATGTATGTTTACAATATTTATGTCTTCTTGATGGATTCTTCCCTTCAGTATTATGAAGTGTACTTCTATGTCTCTTTTGATGACCTTTGTTTTGAAGTCTATTTTGTCTGATATGAGTATTGCTACCCTGGCTTTTTTTCCCTGTCCATTTACTTGGAATATTTTTTTCCTCCCTTCCCTTTCAGTCTGTGTAGGTCTTTTGTTCTGAGGTGGGTCTCTTGTAAGTGGCATATGTGTGAGTCATGTTTTCTTATCTATTCAGCTAGCCTATGTCTTTTGATTGGAGCATTTAATCCATTTACATTTAGGGTTATTTTCGATAGGTCCTTACTCATTGTCATTTTACCCTCTTTGTACCTGTGTTCCTCTCTCTCACACTTTTTTTCTTCCTCTTCTTAAAGCAGTCCCTTTAGCATATGTTGTAATGCTGGTTTGGTGGAGGTGTATTCTTTTAGCTCACTTTTGTCTGGGCAGCTCCTTATTTCACCTTCCATTTTAAATGAGAGCCTTGCTGGGTAGAGTAGTCTTGGTTGCAGACCTTTGCTTTTCACTACTTGGAATATTTCTTGCCATTCCCTCCTGGCTTGTAGTGTTTATGTTGAGAAGTCAGCCACCAGCCTTATTGGGGGCCCCCTTGTATGTTACTTCTTGTTTCTCCCTTGCTGCCTTTAAGATTCTCTCTTTGGCCCTGGCTGGTGTGGCTCAGTGGATTGTGTGCCAGTCTGTGAACCAAAGGATTGCTGGTTTGATTCCTAGTCAGGGCACATGTTTGGGTTGCAGTTCATGTTCCCAGTAGGGGGTATTTGAGAGGCAACCAACCACACATTGATGTTTCTCTCTCTCTCTTTCTCTTTCTGTCCCCTCTCTAAAAATAAATTTTAAAAAATCTTAATAAAAAATAAGATTTCCTTTTTGTCTTTGAATTTTGCCATTTTAATTATGTGTCTTGAAGTGGGCCTCCTTGGGTTCCTCTTGATTGGGACTCTCTGTGTTTCCTGGATGTGTGACTTTTTCTCTCACCAAAGTAGGGAAGTTTTCCATTGTTACTTTTTCAAACAGGTTTTCTATCCGTTGCTCTCTTTCTTTTCCTTCTGGTATCCCTCTTACATGGATATTGTTACATTTGATGTTGTCCTGCAGTTCCTTTAACATCTATTTGTTCTTTCTGAGTCTTTTTTCCTTTTCTTGATCTTTTTGGGAGTTTTTTCTACCTTGTCCTCCAGCTCACTGATTTGATCCTCTGCTTCATCTAGCTTGCTTTTGATTCTTTCTACTGTGTTTTTCAATTCATAAATTATATTCTTCATTTCCTCTTGGCTCTTGTTGGTATTTTCTATGTCCCTTTTCATGCTGATATAGTTTGCAATAACTTCCTGATAGCTTCCCTGTAGTTTTTAGTAATTCTCACTGAGCTCATTGAATTTCTTTATAACCATTGTTTTGAACTCAATATCTAATAGTTACTTGCCTCTGTTTGATTTAGCACTCTTTCTGAGGATTCCTCCTTTCTTTTAGATTGGGGGTTGTTTCTCTGTCTTCCCATTATTTGTGAGACTCTTCTTGTTTGCTTCTGCTTCTTAAATTGATCTGTTTTGACTTCCCAATTTTGTGATGTGAACTTCTACGGTAGGTGACTTGTGAGATTCAATGGTTCAGTCTCCTTGATCTACTGAACTTGATGCTCTTAGGGTGCCCTTTATGCTGTTTATGTTGGCTCTCTGTGGGAATTGGTTCTTGATTGTTTTGGGGTCATCCTTTGGTGGTTTCTTCCCTGCTGCTGGTTGACTGAGGGTTGCTTTGCCCACCACATATTATATGCTGTTGTGCAGGTATTGCCAGAACAAAACCACAATCCCAGGGAACAAGCCTGCATCTGAAAAAATAACTCCCCCTCTCAATCCCACTATCAATAGCAAATGAAGCAGCACTAATAAGGGTATAAAGAGATTAAGACTATTATAAGAAAGGAGAAAAATAAACTATGGTATAAAATCTAGTGACTTAATATGCACAGTCTTGGTGGATAAGAAATGAATGTTAAAAAGCTATGCAAGAAAGAAAGTATTGCAAATCATGGAGAAGAGACTGTAGTGGATTTCACTTCAGCAGCCTCTAGTATTTATCACTGTTTTTTCTTTGTCTCTAGACCACTCTGCCCCTGCCTTTGCCAGAACCCAGAGTGAGCGGCTGCAAATGAAAACTTGTGTATTGGCCCTTTAAATGTCTATTTGTGTCACTAGCTGTTTGTCCCTGGTAGAGAACAACCCTGCTGCTTTCCCCTGCTGGTTGTTATCTGTGTTCTTTTTGGGCTCTGGTACCCTAGGCTGGGGATCCTAGCTTAGGGTTTAGACCCCACTGGTCTCAGGGGGATATAACCAGCCACTAAATTATCCCTTTGGTGCTGCCACCTGTTGGCACACAGCCAGCCTTCTCGAGTTTCCACCACACTCCTTACCAGTCAGGTTGTGCTGAAGCTGATTCTTCTGTCTGTCTGAGGTTATAAAGCTTCTCTCTTGCTATTTTTTAGTTGTTTTTTCCAGGTGATGTCTCCATAATTTAGTAGTAATTCTAGATTGGTTCTTGGAGGAGGTTAGTGTGACTTCTATTCATTCCTCCACCATTTTGCCCATGCTCTGTTTTATTTTCTTTAAGCACTTTTACTACTGGATATTTTCTTGTTTACTTATTTTCTTATTTGTTTGTTGAATATTTCCTTCCCTTTGTGAGCTCCAGGTGGGTAAAAATTTTTGTGTTGTTATTACCATAATATCAATGTATAGAAAAATGCCTTGCACATAGTAGAAATCTGATAATTACATGTTGACTAAAAAAAGAATTATTATATATGTTTCTCTTCCAAAAGTTTGATTATTAGATTCATTAGGTTATGTGAAAAGAATAAAATTCTTTATCATGTTTAAACAAAATGTAAATAACTAGTACAATGCATTCATATTTTTAATAGGTATAAAGGTCTGTTTAATTATATATTTATATGTTAGCTTCAGGGAATTTACATTGCCCTTCCAATAACCAGCATCATATAAACGTTTCCTGATTCATACACATGGGTTCTTTCCAACCAAGCTGCCATGTCTGATCTGTGACAGACTGCTAGTTGTAACCTCTTTAGTAGACCTGGATCAGGTGATGAACTCTGCCTACTTTCCTAACTTCTTGCTATTGTTTGCCCAGAATCTTCAGCCAACAGAAAGAAGTTGCAACCGAAGAAACAATAGCAGATATGGTTCTCAACAATATAAAAGGATTATTCCCTTTTACAATGAGTTTCATACATGTGAAGAACATGGTTCTGGGGCCTTGTACTAATAAAATTGAATTTGTGCTTGTATTGTACTTTACTCTCTCTGTGTGTAGGGGTTTACTTTCACATCTATTGAGATCCACTGGGTTTTTAAAAACAGCCCAAGGTGGTGTAGGTATGTCGTTATCCCCATTTTACAGACACGAGAACAAACTCCGAGTAAATGTGCCACGATGAATGAATTGCAGAGACCGAAATCAACCTGAGTCATCAATACGTACATTCTTTTCCCTATGCAGATTCTCAGCAGCGATGTGACGTTTTTTAAGCCCCAGATTTACTAGGTCATTTTTGCATTGACAAGACTTAGGAAACTTCACTTCAAGAGTCCCTGAGCCAGGAAGATGAGCACAGATATTCTCTCAGTTGCCGACATTGTTAACCCCCAAACTAGGTTTAAGATTCTGATGAAAAACCCATAAGTGGGGAAAAATTGGGACAACTATAACTGAACAATGAAAAAAAAAGTGACTTATCCTGAGGTGCTGGTGCCTCACCTGCCCCTCCCCCTGTCCTCCTGCCCTAGGGAAGATACAGTCTTGGAACAAATGACTCAAATTAGAGATTAAGTATTGATGTAAAGTCTATAAAGTTCAGGGCCTAGCACACAGTCCCTTGGTAATTAAGTCTTACAGAAACATGTAATGTTTGATGTCATTGTTGATGTTAATATTACAGCATTTCCCCTAAAAAAAAAATCCCTTTCCTTTGCCAGTCCTCTATCCCTTAGCCTAGACCAGGCAAAGAAAAAGAAAAATGTCCCAGGGCTGAAGAATTTTCCTTTGAGCCAGAGAAGAGCGAATATTATATTTGTTTAGGAACTTCCCCTGGATCCCTTAGTCATGCAGTCGCCACTTTATCACTGGTCCCTAGAAGTGGGCGGGTTTTCCTGGAACTTTTGACTGCAGTTGTTTCCTGCTCAGAGTAACCCAGAAGCTGACGCCAGAGCTCTGGGCTGGGACTTCCGAGGAAGGTAGGTGCTCAGCTGTGGCTCCAGGCTGGATCCCAGGTCCTCCCTGAGGCCCTAGACCTGCCCCTTCTAACTTCCCTTCCCTGTCTCCAGATCTGCGAGGCATGGTTTTGCCTGCAAGCCCACCAAGCACAAAATTTAGTCCCCGTGTGCAATCCCCACCCCCTGGGAGTTTCTGCGGGTGTGGCAGGTTAAGGGAATCTGGGGGGACCGGAAGTGGGATTTAGTCATCTAATAATCTCAAGACCCCTTTTCCCACTTTCCTTCTCTTTAACTTCTCTCTCATTTGTCTTCTGTCTTTGTCCTTCTCCCTGTCCACCTGTCCCGTGGACAATTGGTGTTGCTTCAATTTTACACTGTGGAAATGGAGTTCCAAGCCCCCCTCCACCCCATCCAAATTGGAGTGCAGCCCCTACATCCTTCTGTATAGAAATTCTATTGGGGGCTAGATCCCTTCTGTTAATACATGGATGCTGAAACCCGGGACGGAAAAGGTAAAAGTTAAATCTCTGCAGGTTTCTATCCAAGCGCTGCAACCCGGGTTCTGAACTTGCCCGGCCACAGGCTGCAGGGTGTGGCTGCTCTGTCTCCCAGAGGGCCAGCAGTTGGAGGACCCATGGGCAGGCCCCGGGCCCAAGGCGCCACCTACTGTTCTCCCAGTTGCCTCAGATTCAAGGCTCTGAGCTGGCCCCGCTGCTGTGGCCAGTCTGCTTTCCTGTAGCTACAGGCATTTCTGAAATGCCAACTTGAGGGAGGGAGGGAGGACGGACTAACTCTGACCCAGCAGAGAGTGCACTGGGAGGGGCGGGGGAGCTGGTGCAGAATAGCACAGTTCCCCTTGAGGGGAACTCCAGTGCGGGGGCTGGGGTCCAGCAGGAGACACGCCCTCTACTCCGCCTCTTCACCTGGAAGCCACCCAGGCGAGTGCTGTCCAATGAGAGATTTGGTTGCTGGGCAATTCCTTCAGCCCGTACCCTTTCTCCTTGTCTCCTCCTGCTTTCAGCTCCCCTCAGGGGTCCCTACGATTTCTTCCTCCCCTACCTGCAGCAAGTGTAACCAGTGAAACTTGCCCCGTGAAGTGTGCACAGGGAAACCTTTCCCTGAGCGTTCCTTCCTCTTCCCAAGCCACTGCGGCCCTCCCTCTGTTAATTCAGTGTGAGCCCTTTGCCACAATCCGTTTTTATCCAGTTCCTCAAAATAAAAACGGGCACAAAGCAAAAAGCCTGATTTATTGGCTCTGATCTGTAGATACGGGGCATGGTGTATAAGACACAGTATTGCTATCAGATGGGTGAGCAATGGTGCCTTTCTCTGGGTTGGAGTGGGGTGCTGTGTGTGATTGATGAGTACAGAGGGTGGGAGATAGTTCTGCCAAAAGCTTCCGAATCCTTGCAGGGGCAGGGAGGGTGTCATTTTTCTGGGAAGGAAAATTACCTTTCTCCAGAGACCACCTGTTTTTCTGGCTGCAGGTTCCTGAGTGAAAATTTGGGTACCCCGTGACCCATCTGCCCCTGGGGCTCTGGATAAACACTCTAGTTTTACTTTGGCATTCTTGGTGTGCCAGGCAATTACATTTTGGCTCCTTAATGTTTATTTTCAGTAAAAGTCCCCTTAATTGGTGCTAGAGATGGCAGGTCAGGTCAGCCTTGGACAGGCAGGGAGAGGCCAGCTCATAGGTGACTCTGTTCAGAAGGACTGGAGGGCAGCATCCAGTCATGTCAGGGCCAGTGACTGGGACCAGAGCCCCCTGCAGACTCTTTGGGCACGAGGATTATAATGTAAATTATAATATATATGCATACATTTTTGGTATTGTATCACATGTAATGGTTGTCTAAGATTACAATACAATTTGGAAGCTATGTTTACGATGGCCTGATTTAAGATAGAGGACATGTTGAAATATGCTATATTAGTGTCTTGGACAGAAAAAACAAACAGTGTTCTCAATTATAGACCCCCCCACCAAAAAAAAAAAAGGCACAAGGTAAGTTATCTAAGTTGCATAGGTCAATTTTGGGTCAGGCAACTTCTTCTGTGCAGGTCTCTGAATAGTGTGATGCAAAGCAACAGCCAAGGCCTATTAACAGTAGTAACAAAAACAATACTTATGTCTGTTGTCATTGAATAAATGCTTCCTATAGGCCAGGCACACTTCTAAAAACTTCACATATATTAATTCATATATGCATATACAATGTGTAGGTATTATGATTTTCACTTTGGAAAGAATACTGAGGTTCCGGGGTTAAGTCAATCATTTACTGAATACACAAAAGGAGTGGTATCATCATACACTTCCAAAAAAGTGGAACTGGTGTTTGAACCAGCCTTAGGGTGTTTCAGAGATTTCTTATTTAACAGGCACTTGGTGACTTTTACTGCTTTCAGCCTGGGTCTGGCATTTAAAAGGAGCCTTCGTAGTGGCACTTTGTCCTCTTCCTCTCAGCTTCTTTCTCCTGCCTAGTTACATCATTAACCCTCTGAATATATTTTTACACCAGAGAGAAGCACATATGAAACCGGTGTTTGAATAGCTAATCCCCAACATGGCCCCACTGTTCATGATGTATCTTTTCCACAGTGACCTTGTGCCACCATGCCGTGCCCCTGTGGCCTGCTAACGCGCCGAGAGGAGCCAGGTGAGCAGGATTTGTGACTCTTACTTGCCATTGTAGCTTCGGCACCTAGCACAGTGCCTGGCCTTCAGAAGATGTTCTATTAAACATTATTGAACTCTTGAACTCAGGTCTGTCTCCAGTACCACTGAAGAGCATCTCTGTGACCTTGTCCATTTGTGAGTTTGTGGCTGGTGTGTCTGCTACCTTAAACTATGAGAATAAGGAGAACGTTCCACTGGAGGCCTTCTTTGTTTTCCCCATGGATGAAGACTCAGCTGTCTACAGCTTTGAGGCACTGGTGGATGGGAAGAAAATTGTGGCAGAATTACAGGACAAGATGAAGGTACTAAGGATGAGTACATTATCGCTTCCCTTTTTTTATTCCCCATGATGCATACTCTTTAGGATCGCTATCAAATGCAACTTCACAAAAGTGCTGATATTGAACGCTTTACCTCTACACCCCTCTAACTGAGCCTTTCGTAAAACTGATGAAGGGAAAAGCCAATCAGAGCACTCAAAGTACAGCTGTAAGCTTGGCAAGACTAATTGGTCTCACCCTACCAGATTCTGTTTCCTATGCGTCTCATCTCCTCATCAAACACACCAGCTTTTGATACCACTTTTCTCTCCTTGGTCTCCTTAGGCCCACGCCAATTATGAAGAGGCCATCAGCCAGGGCCACCAAGCCTTCCTTTTGGAGGAGAACAAGGACTCCAGAGACATCTTTTCTTGTAACGTGGGGAACCTCCCCCCTGGGTCGAAGGCAGCACTCACCCTGAAGTATGTGCAGGAGCTAGCCTTGGAAGCAGACGGGGCCCTGCGCTATGTGCTCCCGGCCATCCTGAATCCTCGGTACCAGCTCTCTAGTGAGTGTCCTCCTCCTCAGATGCTAGTGGGGGGTGACACAACTGGGATGCCCCTCAGAGTTATGGGGGAGCTGACACGTGTGGGAAGGGAAACCACCAGTGAGGCAACTTTTTATAGAAGGGCCTGAGGACAGTTGCCTGAAAACGAAGATTCCTGTAGTCCCTCTGGAGGACCTGCCCTACACACTCAGCATGGTCGCCGCCATCACTTCCCAGCATGGCATCGAGAGGATCCAAAGCAACTGCCCCTTGAGTCCCCTTCAGTACCTTGGAGATAAGACTTCTGCTCAGGTAACTGTTCTTGGGTCCTGATCTTCTTCCTCAGTCTTTCTTAAACGTTCCTTCCTTTTCCCTAGTAACCCAGAAGGAATCACACTATGCTCCTTCTTTATCCCTGTTTAACCTTCAGAGCCCCCTCTTCTTTCTTGTAAAGCAGTGATAGTTCTAACATGGCTTCTTTGCCTGTTCCCAATCCAGATTTCCTTGGCTGATGGACACAAATTTGATCGAGATGTGGAACTTTTGATTTACTACAGTGGGGTGCATACCCCCAGTGTAGCTGTGGAGATGGGGGAACCTACAGCAAAGCCCGGTATTTTCTTTTGTCTTTAGTAGTTGCCTCCTGTGGGGTAACTCTTGTCTTGGAATTACCCTCAGATTAACCTCACTGTTTTCCCTTTCTATCCAGTAGTGGGTAAAAAACTGAAATAGCTTACACTGTGGCATTCAAAAATGGTTCAGGTCAATGAAAATCATGTGACTATGTGTTATAGGAAAATTTAAGTGAATGAGTAGGTAATTGGACAAAGGACATGAAATAGAGTCCACAAAGAGAAACACATTTAGGTTACAAACATGTGACAATAATCAATCTCACCAAGTAAAAATTAAAATACAATAAAAATAACAACATGACCTTTTTACTTTTCAAATGATTAAAGGTTTCCAAATCTGGTAAAGCCTCATGCTTTAAAAAGCAAGGTAAATTGGCACCCTTGTAGCAAAATAATTTTCTATCAAACTTTTGAGGAGAAATTTGGCTGTATGTATCAAAATAAATGTTCAATTTTGTAATTCTAATTTTAAAAATTTCACTTAAGGAAATAAATTTAAATGTAAGTAAAAATATAAACTAAAATGTCCTAAAAATGTCTTACAGTAGCTAAATTCACTATACTAGAATTACTCGATGAGTTATTATGCCACTACCAAAATAATGTATATTGACAGATTGAAATAATATGGAAAAAAAAAGGCTTCCAAAGTATGTTAAGTAAAAGTAAGGTAAGTTATACAGATTACTAAAAGAAAATAACCTACAAATTAAGAAAAACATTGAAAACCACAGGAAATAGCAAATGTTGTGATTAGATTAAGAATAAGCTTATTTTCTTGATTCCTTGTTTTATCTAATAAATAACTTTTATTGATTGGTTCATTGCACCAACATGTGATCTCACCCTGAGTTCTTCCTTTGTCTTCTTTTTATTGTGGTAAAATGTGTGTGACATAAATTTTAAGTATGCAAAAACTAATAAGTTAGCATAAAGTTATACAATGTGAAACTTATAAAATGTACACAACATTAGCTTTACTGCTATACCTGTTCTTACTTGTGTAGTTCTGTCGCCTTCGGTGTGCTTACATTATGTGTGATCGTCAGCTGTGTCTGCCTTCAGAGCTTTCTCATCTCACCCTGGCATCTTAGTTTCTAAAACTAAGTTTAGTTTCTTAATAGGTTTAGTTTTTAAATTTCTTTAATTTTTCTCATTTCCTTAATTTTCCTTGATATGTCTGTGCTTTTCCTTTTGACTATAACTGGTAGAACATGTGCTAGTCTGTTGCTCTCTTGGGGCCTCCTGGGATGCCATCCCTGATCTGAGTCCTTGGAGCATAATGGCGGGGGAGATACTGGCCCTTCTGGCTTTTGGGGCATGGAAGAATCCTCGGGGACCATCACAGTCAAAATACTGTCTGGGGTTAGTCTCGTATTCCTACAACTACTGCTGCTCTGAAGACAATTACCCATAGTTGGTCTTCAATAGGCCATTTTTCTGTCTCATTGTGAACCTTCACCGTCAAGCTCACAAGCTGGAATTCCTCAGTTTGCTCTCACTTGTTCACCCATTGTTTCCTTGGGCAGGCTGTTCACGCTCATCTGTTGGAGGGGCCCAACCTCAGCTGGGTTTGCTCTGTTCCTCTCCCATGGAACTCCCGCTCCTGTCCCATGAAGTCCATGCTCTGTTTTCACACATCGGTTACCTGGTTTTGTCCTCTCTTTTTGGAGAGCTCCCCTGTGGGCCTGTGAAATACTCCCACAACAGTGACCTGGTTTTCAGTCAGAATTGTTTCACCAGAGAAAATTTTAAAACATTGCATCTTAGAAGGTAAGGATTGAGGTCTCAGTCCCTGTCCTTTCAAGAAGTACTGTCAGCCCCTTTGCAGATTTTCTCATCTGTTCCCTGTGATCAGCTGTGTAGACCTGGGGGCATCAGGGGGAGCCTTTACGGTATGAGCCTTGCAAGTCCCCTGCAGCAGGGCCCCTCAAGTCTTACTTTCTAGATCATGTGTTTGGTCAAGATGACTTGCTATTTGCATCTGTACAGAGAAGTACATAACAGCTGGCAGCTTGGCCCACTAAAACCACTTAGAGTTCTGCCAAATGAAACATTCCTTTATGTGATGAAATTGCAAAATAGGCTTTTTAAACTTAGAATGTACTAACCATAGTAAGAACATTATTTTTTTAATTATATTTACAGTTTAATACAAATAATTGTATCAAAAATTTTAATTTTATGAAATTAAGAGCTTACTCTGAATTGAGCCCTAGATTGGGTTCTCAAAGTGAATTATGTCACTTAATTCTTAACATAATCTTGATGTAGGTATTACTACCTTGGTTCTTTAGATGAGTAAACTGAAGCTAGCAAGCAGAAGAACCAGGGTTTGAAATGCCTCATTTAAGAATGAGGAAGCAGAGACTTGGGGAGGTGAAAATCAGTTGAGCCAAGCCAAAGATATTCCAGTAGATACCATGTCTGTAGTGGTTACTGTGCATCTGGCACTGTTCTAAACAGTGTAGAGATGCTTACTCCATTCTCAGGGTGGCCTTTCCACCTGTCAGGTGCAGTGCCCATCCCATTAGACCCAGCTGTCTCTTCCAATGGCAAGGAGTCTACCTTCCCCATAAAGAAAGAGACACTCAGTCACTGTATATCCAGAGATCTGGATCATGTAAAAGTTGTTCTTGAACCAATACACTATCAAATATTTGCTGGCTCTCACCCATTGTATTTGGAAGCAGTTTGGTTACTGCAGTGATCTGTGGGTAAGAGAGTGAGCTGAGTCAGGTCCTGTGGTCGCACTGAGTCCCAGGGCTGCTGAGAACCTAGACCTCTAGTCCTGGGGTGACTGTAATAAGATGGGATACTGGAATGAGCTGCTATATTTTCTTATATTCTTCAAACTGTTGAACTACAGTTTATATAAATCAGCCATTTTTTTAAGATTTTATTTATTTATTTTTAGAGAGGGAGACAGAGAGAGAGAGAGAGAAACATCAATGTGCGGTTGCTGAGGGTCATGGCCTGCAACCCAGGCATGTACCCTGACTGGGAATCGAACCTGCGACACTTTGGTTCACAGCCTGTGCTCAATCCACTGAGCTACACCAGCCAGGGGTTAAATCAGCCATTCTTACTACAGTACATCTCTATCTTAATATTGGCATTTCAATTCTAGCCTCAGTTTTCACTTGCTCCTCAAAACAAAATCATAGCCATGACTTCAACAACTTGGTGACATGGGCCAGCTCCCATGGTCTCCTCCATACTACATTTGGTGATGCTATTATTGTCCCAACACACATCCCAGTGCTTCTCTTTGATCTGGAGATGGCCTCTCCTTGGTGCATGAGACATTCATTATATTCTTAGCTCTCGTACATTGTCAACAAAAGAATTGTCCACATGGCCATCATTTTGTCATCTTGTCTACAAGAACCCATGTGATAAATTTCCCCATTGATTTTAATTAAGAGAATGTGTCCCTGCAAATAAATGAGGTTGATTCTTCTGGAAAATACTGGAACATTTAACTTAATGTATTTCATTAATTTGCCTAGCTACTGGGAAACTTGCATCCAATTATAGTATTTTAATTTTTACTTGTTCCTGGTAACCTCTACCCTTTTTCTTCTCTTTAATACCTGTGCTGCTTCTGTCTCTTACATGTTTATAACTCACCTCAGACTCTTTGCTGGAAGAGAGAGTACAAAGATCAAATAGTGATTTAGATTCGGGTTTTTTCAACTTCCGATGTATGTCAGTACAATCGATTCTTGGTGTTGTTAGTAGGTATGTTTGAGCTCCTTTTCATCTTACAGTGTCCTTTTCCTTTCTGAGTAGACTGTCTAATGGGACATCCATCTGCGATGGTGAGTTTCTACCCAGATATCCCAGAAGCTCAGCCGCCGATGACGTGTAGAGAATTTGTCTTCCTCATGGACTGCTCAGGAAGTATGCAGTGTCCCATGAATAACCAAGATAAATCTCAGCAGCGCATAGAGGCAGCCAAGGTAAAACTATGCTTTTCTATTTCTGGTCACGTGCTCAAGTGAGGATGAGTCTCAAGGGTTAAACTAGAGTCCATCTGGAACTTGGGTCTGTTTCCACCTGAACCACAGCTAACGGGACACTCTGAGGCTAGCATTGGAATCCAAGGCCCGGAGGCACAATGTGGGTGAAGGCCCACACCCTCATGGCTGGGTTGGCAGGGTCTGAGTGTCTGAGAGGATCCTCTCTCACCAGCTCCTGTACTCTCTTCCTTCAGGAAACACTGATTTTGCTGCTAAAGAGTTTGCCTATAGGCTGTTATTTCAACATTTACAGATTTGGATCTACTTTTGAAGCATTTTTTCAGTAAGTTTCTAGAAAAGCCATACAGTGCTCAAAAAGATACTCTAAAGAAAGACTAGATTGTTAAAGGGATTGCTGTAGAGTTGACTTTGGCACTGGGGATTTCAGGTGAGGTTGTTTACAGTGGGCTCATCTCGATGCAGGGACTCAGTACGGGACAGTGTCGAGTAGCTATGTCACTGAGAGTGTGCGATCTTTTCAGGAATAGTGTGCAGTACACTCAGCACACAATGGAAGAAGCGCTGAAGAGAGTCACACTCATGCAGGCTGACCTAGGGGGCACAGAAATCTTGGAGCCACTCAAGAGCATTTACAATGGCCCTTCCATCCCGGGCTATCCTCTACAGGTATGAGTCAGAACAGAGCTAACATAAGGGGACAGAGAGAATTAAATTTCTGTTCAAGGATACTTAGCCCTGAGTTTCACTGTATGATTATCTAAATATGGTATGCAATTCATAGTTGTCTGTTATGTAGTAAAGAGGAAAAGATGAGAGGCATTTAAAGAATTCCTCTTCCTTAACACTGTGCTATGAACTATGGAGGATGGGCATTCTTCTGTGGAGTGCCGGAGAAGCCTTAGGTAAGACTAGCAGTGGGAGGCAATGTAAATGCCCAGGGTTCAGTACAAACCATGTAAGAACACAGTGCAAGTGACAGTGTCCCATTAGAGATTTCACACCTGTCTAGAGGCATCAATGCCTCTAGCATGAAATAGTTGGGTTTTTCAAGGGCAAATTTTTGTTTTTTAAATACAAACTTCACAGAGACTTGATGAATGTCTCTTGTGTTCAGCTTTTTATTTTCACAGATGGAGAAGTTAACAACACATTTAGTGTCACTAAAGAAGTTAAGAGCAATGCTCTGAAACACAGGTATGAAGATAATGTGATTTCTGGGTGACTGACCAAAGTAGTGCTACATGTAATCTAGTGCCTCATGATACCAGTGTTGACATTCCTTTTAGAGGACAGAGTGATTCAAGATTTTCAGTTTTACCAGCTGACAAAATTTTTTTGTACATCACTTTTTCCCTCTCTACTAAATAATAAAAACAGCTTTCTAAATAACATAATAACAATGCTTTCTTTGTCCCGTATTCTCTCTAAACCACAATGGAAAAAAATATTGAATAGTAAGACTTTTAAGAATATAAACATTTTTATCAAATTAAAACAGATAGAAAGCTACACAAATCAGAAGTACACAGCTGGATGAGTCATCAGAGTGGCCACATGTATAATCATCCTACAGGTCAAGGACTGGAATGTTACTGGGGCTTCTCCTTCTCTCTTCTTTTCCATCATGTCCTACATTTACTACCCATTTTTACTTCTCCAGAGGAATAGCTTTCCTGAGTTATAACACCATGGATTATTTTTCTTGTTTTCGAATAAAAATAAATGTTATACACTATGTTTTTATTCTGTATATTTTGCTTCTTTCCATCAGCAGTATATTGAGATTCCCACATATAGTTTGCATAGAAACATAATTAATTTTCATTGTCGTACAGTATACTATAGGGTGGTTAAACCATAATTCTATTGCTGATGGACATCAGTTTCACTGTTAAAAATAATGCTTTTGTGAATATCCTTGTATTCTTGTACATGTATTTTTTTTCACAAAGCACTTGTGTGTGCATATACATGTACATGTATACATATTTATTTTCACATATGTACGCACACATTTTTTTGAGTTGACGTAGTTGTGGAATTTATTGGGAATGCCAGTTTTCCAAGTTATACTAATTTCATTCACACAGCATTGTATGAGGTTACAGTCACCCCATTTTTTACATAAAATTTGGTATGGTTTTTTTTTTTTAGATTTTAACTAATTTTGTGGGTTTGTAGTAGAGTCTCATTATGATTTTAATTTGCATTTTTCTGATGACTAATGAAGTTGAGCACCCTTTTATATTTTTATTGACCACTTATATGTTCTCTTTTGTGATGTATATTACAATTTCTTTTATATTTTTCTATTCATTTTTAGTTCATTCTGTGCTCTAGATATAAGTACTTTGTTAATATATTTAGACCTGGTTTTTTCTATTCTATAGCTTTCCTTTTCACTCTCAAAATGTTATCTTTTGATTAATTGTTTTTCTTAGATTTAATATAGTTTAATTTTTTAGTCTTTTTCTTTACACTTTATTTTTTTGGGTGTGTCCTGTTAAAAAGTCTTTACCTACCCAAGATCATGAAGCTATTTTCCTTTGTTATTTTCTAGAAGTTTTGTTATTTTTCATTTTATGGTTAGGCCTGTAGTTCAGCTGAAAGTATTTTTGTACATTGTGTGAAGTGGGGTCAGATTGCCTTTTTTTTGATGTGGCACATGAAATTAATTGATTTTGTACCATTTACTGAAAAGATTTTTCTTTCCTCACTGACCTGCAATGCCACTTTTGTCACAGATAAGCACCTACACCTGTGGATTGTTTCTGGCGCTTCTGTTCCCTTTCCTTGGTTTATGCATTTAGACGTGTGCGGGTACTACACCATGTAAATTAATGCAGCTTTCTGACAAATATTAATTTCCAGTAAAGTCCTCAACTTTGTTCTTTTTCAAGATTGTTTTAGCTCTTCTTGACATTTTGTGTATGTATTTTAGAATTAGCTTGTCAATTTTTACCAAAAAAGAAAGCCTTGGGACATTGATTAGAATTACATTGCTTTTTTAGATCAGCTTTGGGAGAATTTAGTATTACCTCTATTAGTTTTCCAATTTATTTAAATTGTATATTTAAATAAATTTCCATTTATTTAGGTCTTCTTGATCCTCCTAAATGTGTGTTTCCAATATTTTATTTCAAAAATTTAAACCTGTATAGAAATTATAAAAGTAGAATGATAGACACTCATATACCTTTCATCCAGGTCTGCAGTTAGCAACATTTTACCAGCTGGGCTTCACCTCTTATTGTTTTGTTTTATTTTGTTTTGTTTTGCCACAGGTATCATGATCTTTCATATGCAAATAATGATGCACTGATTTTTTTAAGAACAGGGCATTTTGATAAATAACCACAATAAAACTACTACATTCAGGATATTTAATGTTCAGATAGCACCATTATCTAAATATAGGCCATATGTGCCCATTTTTTAAATAATGCCCTATATAGATTTTTGTTTGTTTGCATTTTGTTCCAGGAGCAAATCTCTGGGAAAGTATTTTATTTTATTTTATTTTTATGTCTCTTTAGTCTTCTCTGGGATAATTTCCCAGCGTTCTATTATCCTTCATGACTGACATTTTGAGAATTCTAGCTAGTGGTTTTTATAGAATTTCAATTTATCTTCAATTGTTTAAAACCCTGTTTAAGTTAATATTAAATATTTTAGAAGAAATATTCCAGAAGTCACTGTGCCTGGTGATAAATTTGACCACTTAAAGGTAGTATCTGACAGATAACATTGCCATTTTGTAAACGTCCTGTTCTCAGCAATTTTAGCATTTGCTGATGGCTATTGCTCAAGTATTATTACTACCAGTGGTTATGAAGTGGTGATGTTTAATCTGTTGACTTTTCCATATTTATTAATTGTCATCCTACTGTAAAGAAGAGCTTTTTCCTTCTCTCCCTTTTGTTGTTATCAACATATACTTTGAATTTTTGCATCTAACAAGTTTTCAATTTGTTAACATTCATTACTCTCATCATGCATTTAGATTCTCAAAATTTCCAGATTTGGCCAGTGGGAGCCCCTTTTCTTGCTCCCATGCCTTTTTCACATGTCTCTTTGGTTTATGCATATTTTCTTTAAAAAATGATTCATACTCACCTATATATTTCCATTTGTGTAGCTAGTCATTTCTAGAATGACCCTGTTCCTTTTAGTGCAAACAATAAGCAAAAGTCAATATTGAGTGTTAGGTGTAACTCTTTGCCACTGGCCTGTTATTTAATAAAGGCATTTTCAGAAGACAGAACTAGCAAATGATTAAGAAAAACACATTTTTTACTAATACTCCTACTTCTAAGGTAACAACATTACATTCTTTTTTTCTTCCATTCTATATTTGTGTCTTCTTTTCTCCATAATGAGAAACCTGGTTCCCCACAAAATTTACCTATTACCTTAATTTAACAGTGTACAAAATCTCTCTGTAATATTTTATAATTCTCTGTATAGAGGCCTTCATGAATTTTTCATTAGATTTTTTCCCTAGGTGTTTGGTGCTAATTTAAATAGTATATATATTTCTTATCCTCACCTGAGAATGTGCTTATTGATTTTAGAGTGGGGAAGGGAGGGAGAGAGAGGCAGGGAGAAACATCGATGTAAAAGAGAAACATGAATTGGTTGCCACTTATAGGCACCCCAGTCAGAACCAAACCTGCAACTTGGGCACGTGCCCTGCTGGAGAATTGAACCTGCAACCCCTCGGTTTACGGGATAATGCTCCAATCAACTGAGCTACACTGGCCAGGGCTAAATAGTATTTTTAAAAACATTTAATCTACTGGATGATTATTTCTACATAGAAATGGATTACAATGGCTTTTTAAATTTATGTTGACCTTGTATTCAATGACCTTGCCTAAGCGAGATATTCTTTTCAATAGTACCATATTTTTCAGACCGTAAGATGCACCTAGGTTTTAGAGGAGGAAAATAGGGAAAAAAATCTTGAAGCAAAAAATGTGGTAAAATATTTAATAACATAATATTTTACCAATGTAAATGTAAACAGAACTCAACAGCAGCATTAACAACCATTATCCCTCCCAAATTGGCAGGGGGAGTTCATCTTATAGTCCAAAAAATAGGGTATAGTCATATATTTTTTTAGATTTTTTCTGTATTATTATGTTTGCAAATAATGTCAATTTTTCCTTTGTAATCCTTATATCTTTAATTTTCTTCCCTCCTGTATTGCCCTAGAAAGAACCTCTAATACAAACCTAAGTAGCAGTGGTCATAGCTTATATCCTTACCTTATTTTGGATTTCAGAAGGAACATGATTAACATTGCATTAATAGTGTGCTTGTGTGTTATAGGTCTTTTTGTAGATGTCCTGTATCAGATTAAGGAATTTTCCTTATATTTCTGTTAGGAGAATTCTTTATCTCTTTCTTTACATTTAAGAAAACAGTGATTAATGGTTGTTGAAGTTAATCAAATGCATTTTATGTGTCTGGTAAGATGAGTGCATGATTTTGTCCTTTATCCTTTTAGTGCATGAATAATAATGACTTTTGTTCAATGTTAGACCAACCTTGCATTTTTGAAATAATCCCAAATTAGTTGTACTCTATTAACATTTATCATACATTTTTGATTCTGTTGGCTAATGATTGTTGAGGATTTTCAAATCTATTTTCATGAGACATACTGATTTTTTATGTGTGTGATTTCTTGTTTGGTTTTAATATCAGTGTTACACTGGCATCATATAATGGACTAAGAATAATTGCCTGTTTTTCTATTATCTGAAAGGTTTTCTTTCATGCTTACTAGATGTTGCCAGGAGAATTTTTCTGTGGAAAGGTTTTTAAATCTCATTGAAATACAATTATTTATATTTTTATATGTTGATGATTCTTATGGGAGTTTGTATATTTTATCTAAATTTTCAAATTTCTTTGCATGAAATTGTCTCAGATGTTGCCAGATGATGTTACTAAGTTTTGCAGAAATAGTGGTAGTGTTTTTTTTTTCATTTCTTATGTTGGTTCTTTGTGACTTCTCTATTTTTTTTTCTTGCTCTAAATGTTTGTCAATTTTGATAATCTTTTTTATTTAAATTATTTTATTGTTGTTCAATTACAGTTATCTGTATTTTCTCCCCACCTATACCCTGCACCCCCTCCAAATCTATCTCCCTCCCTTGCTTCCACTCTCCCCCTTGGTTTTGTCCATGTGTCCTTTATAGTAAATAGTTCCTGAAAGCTCTTCTCCTCTCTGTCCCCTCCCCGCTCCCCTCTGGCTATTGTTAGATTCTTTTAATTTCAATAACTCTGGTTACATTTTGTTTGCTTTTTTCCTTTGTTGGTTATGTTCCAGTTAAAGGTGATATCATATGGTATTTGTTCCTCACTGCCTGGCTTATTTCACTTAGCAAAATGTTCTCTAGTCCTATCCATGCTGTCACAAAGGGTAGGAGCTCCTTTATTTCTGCTGCATAGAATTCCATTGTGTAAATGTACCATAGTTTTTTGATCTACTCATTTGCTGATGAGCACTTAGGCTGCTTCCAGCTCTTGGCTATTGTAAACTGTGCTGCTATGAACATTGGGGTGCATAGGTGGTTTTGGATTGGTATTTCAGGGCTCTTAGGGTATAATCCCAGCAGCAGAATTGCTGGGTCAAAAGGCAGTTCCATTTTTAGTTTTCTGAGGAAATTCCATACTGTTTTCCACAGTGGCAGCACCAGTCTGCATTCCCACCAACAGTTCACTAGCCTTCCCCATTCTCCACATCCTCTCCAACACTTGTTTGTTAATTTCTTTATGATGACCATTCTGACTGGTGTGAGGTGCTTTTCATTTGCATCTCTCTGATGGCTAGTGATGCTGAACATCTTTTCATGTGTCTCTGGGCCCTTTGTCTGTCCTTAAAGAAGTGTCTGTTCAAGTCTTTTGCCTATTTTTTAATTGGGTTTTTTGTCTTCCTGGAGTGGAGTCATGTGAGTTCTTTATATATTTTGGAGATCAAGCTCTCATCCAAGGTGTCATTGGCAAATATGTTTTCCCATACAGTTGGTTCTCTTTTCATTTTAATGCTGTTTTCTTTAGCCACGTGGAAGCTTTTTAATTTGATGATGTCACATTTGTTTATTCTTTTCTTTATGCCCCTTGCTTTAGGGGACATATCCAGGAAGATGTTGCCAAGTGGAATGTCTGAGATTTTCCTGCCAATGTTTTTCTCTAGGACTTTTGTGGTGTTACGACTTATATTTAAGTCTTTTATCCACCTTGAATTTATTTTTGTGTATGGTGTAAGTTGGTGATCGAGTTTCATTTTTTTTTGCATATAGTTGCCCAGATCTCCCAACACCATTTGTTGAAGAGGCTATTTTTGCTCCCTTTTATGCTTCTTCCCCCTTTGTCAAATATTAATTGACCGTAGAGACTTGGGTTTATTTCTGGGCTCTCTGTTCTGTTCCACTAGTCTATGTGCCTGTTTTTATGCTAGTACCAGGCTGTTTTGATTACAGTGGCCTTGTAATACAGTTTGATATCATGTATTATGATCCCTCCTGCTTTGCTCATCTTTCTCAAAATTGCTGCAGCTATTGGGGTTGTTTATTGTTCCATATAAATTTCTGAAATATTTGGTCTATATCTGTTAAATGTGTCATGGGTACTTTAGTAGGGATTGCATTGAATCTATACATTGCTTTGGGTAGTATGGCCATTTTGGTGATGTTAATTCTTTCAATTTATGAGCTTGGTACATGCTTCCATTTATTTGTGTCTTCCTTAACTTCTTTCTTCAGTGTTGTGTAGTTTTCTGAGTACAGATCTTTTACTTCCTTGGTTAGGTTTATTCCTAGGTACTTTGTTTTTCTTGTTGCTATATCAAATGGGATTTTTTTCCTGATTTCTGTTTCTGATGTTTCATTGTTGGTGTACCAAAATGCCTTTGATATCTGAGTATTGACTTTGTATCTAGCTGTTTTGCTAATCTTTTTTTTTTTTAGTGTTTTAGAAGTTTTTTTTTTTAGACTTTATTTATTTATTTTTAGAGAGGGAAGGGAGGGAGATAGAGAGAGACAGAGAGAAACATCCATGTGCAGTTGCTGGGGGCTGTGACCTGCAACCCAGGCATGTGCCCTGACTGGGAATCGAACCTGTGACACTTTGGTTCGCAGCCCGAGCTCAATCCACTGAGTTACGCCAGCCAGGGCTGCTAATCTTTTTTTTTTTTTTTTAAAAACACTTTTGCCCTGGCTGGCATAGCTCAGTGGATTGAGCGCAGGCTGCAAACCAAAGCGTCACAGGTTCAATTCCCAGTCAGGGCACATGCCTGGGTTGCAGGCCACGTTCCCAGTGGGGGCCATGTCCCCAGTGGGGGCCACGTGAGAGGCAACCACACATTGATGTTTCTCTCTCGTTCTCCCTCCCTTACCCTCTCTAAAAATAAATAAATAAAATCTTAAAAAAAAAGCTTGTTTAAAAAAATAGTACTTTTGAGTTTCTGGATCTTCTCTATTATATGATTGGTTCTATATGAATAATGTTTGCTCCTATCTTTGTTATTTTCTTTTCTTTAAATTTTTTTGGTTTACTGGTTGTTCTTTTCCTAAGATCTGGAGACGGACACTCAGGTGGTTGAATTTTAAACTTCTTTTTCTAATATATGTATTTAGAACTACACATTTAAACATATCTGTAGCTGAATCCTAAATTTTGATATGTCATTTTCTATTGGTAGTCACTTGAGAATATTTTCTAATTATCGTTATGATTTCTTTTTAAGTCCTATGTTATTTGGAAGTATAGTATATACTGTCCCAATATTTGGGTTTTTAAAATTTTATTAACTATCAAATATTATATATATATAATTCTGGAAATACTTTAGGCCTCTAGATGATGTTATCTTTCCTCTAAGAAGATTTACTCTTTGCTTCTGACAGGTTGCTAGACCAGAAGCAGATAATCTTAGTTCAAATAGAGTTGAATGGGCATCAGTCATTGATGGCTGGTTTATTTTAGATCCACCTCTCTATAGAATATAGTTCTACAGGCTTATAGTAAAACAACTGAGTGTCTACCAAGGCACTTTTTTGGAAAGCCCCAAACTGAAACTGCTTAGCTTTCTAATCATTCTGTTATCAGTTTGAACTTGGCTCTTACTTCAGGATGTAAAGGAATAGCAGACACCAAGCTCATGACTCTTGGCTTCCTTCCCCTCCCTCTTCTCAGTGCATAGGTTATTATTGTCTTGGCAGCCATCTGAGGTTCTCAAAGAGATTATTAAAAATATTGTGTACAGCCTTTCTGGTTCCCTACTGTCTTGGAGCAACTTCATCTGGCATTGCTGTGAGCAGAACTCTCCTAGGGTGTTATACTTTAAGTCAAAAGCCATATATTTAAGTTCCAGTTTTCCTGTTTCTCAGCTATTTGGACAAAATTCTCTAAGCCTCAGGTTCCTCACTTGAAAATGCAGATAATTGTTCTTATAGGTTTACTGTAAGGGTTAAAAAAAGAGTATGTCAAGCCCTGGCTGGTGTAGCTCAGTGGATTGAGTGCAGGCTGCGAACCAAAGTGGCGCAGGTTCGATTCCCAGCCAGGGCACATTCCTGGGTTGCAGGCCATAACCCCCAGCAACATTGATGTTTCTCTCTCTCTGTATCTCCCTCCCTTCCTTCTCTAAAAATAAATAAGTAAAATCTTAAAAAAAAAGAGTATGTCCAAGGAAAGCATTAGGAACTGTGCTTGATACAAAGTAAGTGCTATATAAATTTTTGCCATTATTGTAATTATTCTTATCATCTCATGAAGCTGTTGTAGACATATAGTTAGCCATCAAGAAATATTGTTCAGCTTTAGCTTTATAGATAAAAACACTTCAACATTCAAGCACTTTATAAACCATAAAGAAACTGGGCTACAGTTTAAAAGCTTGTTGAAAATTTAAAGATGATAATTTCAAGATGCTGGCAGGCTGTGATCTGTAGGGAACATTGTCACAGTTAAGTCACAGTAATTAGAAGTCTGGGTTAGCCTTACAGGTTTAGAGCATTAATCCTGGTGCTGATGTCCCTAGACATGGGGATGATGATTCACACTACCTAAGTTCAAAAGAGGCTGACACATAAGCCAAAATAGCAGGGTATTAATTTACAATGAGAACTATATTTGTCATGCCTTCTAAAATTGCTGGTACTAGTATTACCAACATATTCTCTGTTTATAGGCAGTTCTAGTTTGGGAGCCATGCTGTGATTAAAAAGCTACCCAGGAGCAAGGGCAAGTGGGAGCTCTCTAGGCAGAAGAGCAGGAAGTACAGTGTCCAACCCAAGGCTAGCCTCGCTTGGGCAGATGTGGTCGCAGAACAATGTTAGTCCAGCACTGATCATGGTGTCTATTTTTTCCTAACTCTCCCATTTTCTGTGGCCTAATTATTAAAATAATTGATGATGATATAATCCTATTACTTTGTTTTTTCTGCTTCTAGAATCAGTATAATAATAAGGGCTTGCCAGGGTAATCATGTAGTCAAGCAGATCAGTACTCAAATTCTATCTGTACCAGTTGGTCTGTATCTGGAGAGAGTTCTAAAACCCTTTGGGCCTCAGATTATATGCAAAATGTAACATTAGCTTGCCTCTTAGGAGTCCGGAGATGATTAAATTGCATCATTAATTTAAGGCATTTGGCCTTCTAAAACATAGAATATGCTCAATAAGTGGTAGTTATAATGCCTTTGATCAAGGAGGTATATATACTCTCTCCCTCTATGTATTTTTGACCATCATGTATTGATTTTATAATGTCACCATTTAGTTTCTGTCTCTGATGTCTATCTATTTCAGATGTTTCTGATATCTAATTGCAGATGTTTCTCCTTTGGTATTGGAGAAGGAGCCTCCACCAGCCTAATAAAAGGCGTTGCCCGGGCAGCAGCAGGCATGGCAGAATTCATCACAGGCAAGGAGAGGATGCAGCCGAAGGTGAGGCACAGGATGGCATCCAGAGGTGGCACTCTGGAGTGAATGTGGAGCAGGGCTGCCCTGCTGCAAGAGTGGAAGCAACACACTGCCTCTGCGGCTCCTTGCCTTCTGTCCCTGAGGCCTTGGGCTAGTTACCTGATGGGCTACTTTTGGCTTTATGTTAAAAGCATCCACTGTAATTTCTGGAGAAATGGCATCTAGTCCCAGCAGCTGGAAGCCCAGAAGCAAAAGGCTGGACAAGGTTAGGGCTTTGTGTTTAAGACAAGAAACAGAAACTAAGAATTCTGACCGTCATGATGGACATTCCAGGTGTGCACTTTAGAACCTTTTTCTGTCCTATGTTCTATCCTCCATGCTAATGATATGCAGAAAATAAGAAGGACAATTATAATATGTCTGGTAGATTGGAGAAGGTGGTGTATCGATACTCCGTTTGATTAGTATGCACAAGGGAAGGCATCTTCCACTTCTGGTTATATTTCTAAGTTCCTCTTTCCCAGTTGATGCTGTTTCTTATCTAATGGCTACTTCTCTAGAGTCTCTTTTCCCAGACATTTCCTTCATTCACATTTATGAAATTTCTCTGCTTTAGCTTCCTCATGTGTAAAGCAAAAGTAACAATGCCCATTTCCTAATGTATATTAAGGAATAGGCATAATATGTATTGTGTTGCATAGCATCTGTGCACAATGAATATTCAGTTAGTAGGAGTATTTGTTGCCATTATTATTTTGGGTTATTATTCTGTTCTCTTTCTTCCATCAGGTTCTTAGGGCCCTGAAACGTTCTCTGCAGCCTGTAGTGGAGGACATTTCTGTGCACTGGGAGTTGCCACCTGGTCTGTCCGCTACAATGCTTTCCCCAGAACAGACTGTCATCTTTAGGGGTCAGAGGTTAATCATCTATGCCCAGTTGACTGGGATGATGCCGGTGAGAGTCCATTCCTGTTTGTTTCTCCATTCAGAGTAGCTGCTGCCCTGAACTCACTCTGGACACTTGCTAGACAGATTCAGCCTGCCCCCTTCTCCATCATGTTGAGTCCCCGGTTTCCTGCACCACCTGCTTTCCAGTCAGAAGTGTTAATGTGTGGGGTTGGGGAGCTGCCCCAGTGTGGACTTTCTCTTGGCGCTATCTTCCCTTCCATCATTTCTGCTCTTCTCTAATTCTAGCCAGCAGAGGCAACAGGGGAAGTTTGCCTCAGGTACACCCTCCAGAGCAAGAATTTTGAGAATAAAGTGACATTTTCTCTACAACCCAAGTTTGATGCCAAGTGAGATTTTAGTTTTCTTTTTATTTTCTTTCTCCCCTTCCTTCCTTCCTCCCTCCCTCCCTCCCTTCCTTCTTTCCTTCCTTCCTCCCTTCCCTTACCCTTCCCGCCCCTCCCCTCCCTTCTCTTTCTCTTCCCTTCCTTCTTGTCTTTGCCATTCTGGGGGGTTGGTTTCCTGCTCTTAATTTTGGGCTCGATTATTTCCCTAAAACCACTTTTCTTTTTTAGGCCACTCAGATTTTCTCTCTCCCCATCTGATTTTTTCTCCTGGGCCATCCCTGACTTCTGAGGCTCTGAGCTGGCACACAGGCTTTCCCCTGTGTCACAGGAATTGTTCTCTTTCAGCCTTACCATCCACCGCCTTGCTGCCAAGTCCTTTCTCCAGACCAAGGACATGGGCTATGGGGAGACTCCAGCAAATGATAAGAAAGATGTGCTGAAAGTAAGCCTTGAGTGTGGAGTGATAAGCTCCCACACAGCTTTCATTGCCATCAACAAGGACCTTGAAAAACCAGTTCAGGGACCCCTGACCCAGCGTGACATTCCAAGGCCAATGCTGTTTTGTTCTCCTGCAGCGTTATGCTCTCCTGCAGCGTTATGCTCTCCTGCAGTTGGTGAGTTTTCTTCTATTTAAACTCATATAAAACAAGGGGCCCTGGATGTCTGGGATCCATCAATTAAAGTAAATGCCTATGAAAGGTCTTTTTTCCCTGCTTATCTCTCCACATCTTGGATTTCAGACTGGTGTGAAACCTTTCTGTCCTAGAAACCTGGAAAATATCCCATTAGCAAAAAAAATTTAAAGCAATCCAAGGGAAAAAATGAGGAAAATTAAACAAAAGTGCACATAAACACTGGGTGTTCAGACTTAAACACTGTCTAAATCTGAAGCTGATCAATTGTATTGTTAATTAGATGATTAAGGATTACACAGATGGCTGAGGAACAACCTGGCAGTGTTTGGACAGGGCTGCTAACTGCTGGGACTGTCTCAGCCATAAGCCATCTAGGTAATAGCAAAAGTCATGGGGATGGATGTGATTATTCAGAGGGCAGGTATAAAATGAGCTGAAAAGGGGGGTAAGATTGTAACACTGAAGAATATCTAGGGATGGATTCCCCAAACCATGTGAAAAAGGAATAAAGTAGGAAGAAAAGAAATGAGTGCAGAGGAGTCAAAGTAAAACTGGAAAGTCTAGGGAGGTTGTGGGGCAGGGAAGAAGGATAGAACCAAAAAATAAAAAGCAGAAGATAAAGAACTCATGGACATGGTCAATAGCATGGTGATTGCTAGAAGGATTGGGGTGGGTGGAGGTGGCAGAAGTTATAGGAGGGATAAATGTTAATGGGAAAAAAAGAGTATATTGTGTTAATATCAAAGAAAGCCTTGCTAATCTAATCAAGAACAGTTCCACTGGTGTAGATGAGGAAAGAATCTATATTCACAATGTTAAAGAGCAAATGAGAAGTGGGAAATGAGAAGCAGCTTGTACATGCACTTTTTATTAATGTTGAAAAGGGGAAGGAATAAAGAGTGATACCTATAAAAATGTTGATTTGTTGTGTGCGTGTGTGTTACATCTCTTCATGATTTCAGAATGGAAGAGATTTGAGAATGTTATAATGCTAACAGGGAAATGCCCCTTGAGATGCTTGACATCATTGAGTGTGGGGAGGGTAACCAATTGAGAAGGGTGTTTGAGGAAGTGAGGGAGGATGCGATCTAGAACAGCAGAGGAGGGGTTAGCCTTTAATAGGACAAGTGTTAGGACATTCTTCCCTTATTGCCAGGATGTGGAAGAAAAGGGATGGAATTAGCTTTCAGTTCAGAGGCTGAGAGGCAAGCTTTTGGAGTTTCTGTCTGATCGTTTTCTGTTACGTTAGTGAGAAACAGCAAGGTTAGCTAATGAGTATGAGACTGGAGTTTGCAGAACAGAGAATTTGAGCTAAGGGTTGGAAATAGCCTTGTGGAAATCCAGAGAGTGAAATGCTCAAGGAGAAATAGAGCATTTGTCAAAGAATGTTGAAGGTCCGGTTTAGTTTTGATACGTTGACGTTTTCAGTGGCACCAAACTACTAAAGGAAATCTGTTTTTGAGATTCAGTTCAGCAGTGTGCAACAGCTTTGGTATAAGAATGAAGAGAGTAGAGTGTTCGCTTAATTCTGAGCTTAGGTTTTTTGGTTTATTTTGTTTTTATAATTTTTAAAATTTTTTATTTTAATCATTGTTCAAGTACAGTTTTCTGCCTTTTACTCCCATTCCAGCCCACCCACCCAATGAGGTTGGGTTTTGACAATGGATGTGATAAAAAGGAAGTTAGGGACAAGGAATTGAAGATAGTAATAAGAGAGTTGAAGAGTGTCGAACCTGAGATTTAGGCTAAATGGAAAAGAGAGTAAAGATACAAGGAAATTTTTATGTAGCAACAAACAGAGTAGACAAAGACTTAAAGGTCCAGATGAAGTCAAAGGCCAGGTAAAATAAAAATCTCTGAGTTAGAAAGCTGGAAAAATTGGATATTGTATCTTAAAAGTAGAGTTCTTTTTAATTACTTTTTTACAGTGGGAACGGTTCTCTTTGATAATCAGATACTGGCTTGGGAGGGATCAGCTGGAATAGAATGGAAGCTGAAGCCTTTTGATTTGAGGAAGATAAGAAGCTTTGAATTTGGGTATCAGGTAGGTTATCTACATGGATCCATAATCTCTCAAGATGATGGCAGGCTTTGCCCTAAAGTGGAAGTCTTTGACTGATTTTCAGATACTTTAGTGAATGATGGAAAGGGCCAGAGAGGTTGGAGGTTGTCAGCAGTGAGGATATGAGGAAGGTAATCCAGGTGAGGATGAAGAGGAATGATATGGATGTGGCATTTGGAACTGAAGAGGTTGCCGACTGCACTGACCCCACCTCTCAAACCTGGCTGCTTGGGTACCTGGATCAACTACCATTTCAGAAGGAGAGAGGGAAAAGAGATTTTTAAAAGGAGAATGTAGTTTTAAGTGAAATAGTTGGAGGAAGCCTGCCATACTGAAAGTAAAGATGCATAAAAGGCCATTGTCATGTATCGGAGTGGGCAGGTGTGTGTAGGATCTGGGCTTCTGGGAGAAGAAAAAGTGCACAATAAAGAGGGTAACTGAGCCCTGGCTGGTGTGGCTCAGTGGTTGAGCGCCAGCCTGCAAATCAAAGCGTTGCTGGTTTGATTCCCAGTCAAGGCACATGCTTGGGTTGAGGGACGGATTCCCAGTAGGGGGCACGTGAGAGGTAACCACACATTGATGTTTCCCTCTCTTTCTCCCTTCTCCTCTCTAAAATATAAAATAAATAAAATCTTAAGAGAGAATAAAAAAGAAGGTAACTGAGGTCGACATTGGGTAGGACATACTTGAATGTGTCTCAAATTATCAGGGCCTGTCGCCCACAGCAGAGAGCATGGGGGCCTTGGTGTTGGTGTCTGTGCTGGAATTTCTCAGCTCATACAAAGGCCTTCTCCTTCTAACCGTCCGCCTGTGTCTCTGCCCACTGAGTGCTTTGTTCAATTTAAGAGCATCATACCAGAAGAATGGTTATGACCCCCATAGATCCACGATTAATAAGACCCCGGATCCTTTTGGTGTGCATCTTTCCAGGGACTTTTTCTCACCAATGTTTGTCTGTCATACATACAGGACTAGACAGAAGCCGAGTTCTTATTCGTGGATCAAGGAGTAAAGCCATGTCTCCCAAAGTGGCCTCCCCTCAGAAGATAAGGGCTTATTCTTCTACCATGAGGACTAGTGTGGAAAGTCATCCCATAGGTGAGGTGGGCCTCAGGTCTCTTCTGATCTGTAGGAACTGCGGAACTAATCTTTGTTGCTCTGCTATCTTGTGGCTCTCTTTCCCAGGGATGTAATCTCTTTGAAAAGTGTCAGGCAGATGGTAAAATTTGTCCAGTCCCTGTATTTGCCAGGGTCAGCCCTGCTTCAGTAGTCTATAGTATAGGACACTGAAACCTACCCCAGTGCCATTTGAGATGAGCCTTAAACTTACCCCCTTTGCCGTCTCAGCTTGAAAACCTTGTGTACTGGCTGGGGCCCTCCTCTTGCAGAACTTGGCTGCCACCCTGTCCGGGCCCAAGCTGCATTAGTCAATTTTTTTAGAAGTTGGATTTGAAGATAGATTTCTCTAATGATGTCTCATGACATTCTGTCACCAGTGTTCCTCAGTCATTTCATTGCCTCACGTTCCAAGCAGCTAGGCTTGTCAAGTACCTGATATATCAAGTCAAAGTACAGTTCTGCTAAGTGGTGCCTATTCTACTTAAACAGGCTCACAGGCGACTTCTGTCTCATTTCTCCAATTTTTGTAGCTAGGGTTTATGGCATGCAATTGTTTAATTGTTTAAACATCTTTGCCACATACTCTATGTATTCATTCTTCTTAGGCTTCTATAAACAGAGGGCTTGGAGGTCTGGGTGAATTCCGATCTCTGTACTAGCAGTTCCTGTGGGGTTTTAGGAAAATTAATTCACTTTTTAGAGCCTGGGTTTTCTCAAGTGCCGTACTGTTCATCCCCTAGGGCTGTCATGAGAACTTTCTTTATGTTGTGCATGGAGCAGATTCCCAGTTTGCATTGGTTTCCTGTGCTGTCCTATCTCCACTCTAGCTTTCTCTACTATGGGTCCTCTTATTAAAGTAGAAAGAAAAGTTCCCCAGTGGTGTCTTCCTGGTTTTTGTGAATTAGTTGGCAACTACTGTTTATAGGGAGCCGTTTATGGGCCTTCCAGGTACTTTCCCTTTTTTCTCATGAATAAGGCATTATTGTCTCCAGTTTACAGAGAAGGCTGAGATTCCTGTAGGTTAAATAGCTATTAGATTTTGTACATTAGAAGAGCTGAGAATCAAACTCAGACTTTTGAAATCCAGAGTCTTATATTTGCTTTCCCATTAGAGTAGATCTGTTTTTCTTGCCTACTAATTTTTAAGTTGCTCTAAATGTATATATCCAGTGTATACATCCCATCTAAGTGTATACATCCCATATAGCCAGATGTGAGATACTTTCTATGAAAATTTTGTGGTTTTGAAGCAAGTTTCATACCACCAGACTTAGACACTAGACTACTCTTTGAGGTGGACTACTAACTGCTTCCTTAATATATGCTTTCTTTTGAAATTTTTGATAATTAAAATTCAAGCTGTGCTTGCCTAGAATTTTTAAAATATGCCTAACATTTTAATGGTTATTTAAACAAGACTGGAGAAAGCTTTAAATAGCACCATCATGTGGACCCTTTAGTTCCCCATAAATTTCTCTTGTTGCTGAGTTTTTAAGTGCAGTGCAGCCCTGGGATGGCCTTACCCTGTCACAGAGAGAATGCATGTCCCCCAGGGAAGGAAGAAATGGGATCTTGGTGGGATCTGCAGAGCTCTGCACACTTTGCAGCCTGAGTTCAGACCTCTCTTTCAAGTATGCTACAGGTGAGAAGCTTCTTAATTTCTCATCCTCTTTCTTTTTTTCTTCCCAAAGTCTCTGAAGATAATAATTTTGTACAGCTGATTTCCCTCCAAAAGGCAGATGGTTCCTGGGATCTGAATGAAGGTCTGGCCAAGATCCTAGGTATGAGTGTGGAGGATATACTGGCTGCACTCCCTGCCAAGGTGAGATTCAGAGAACAAAAAGGAGTGTGTATGTACTTGAGTGGTTGGAGTCAGTAAAAGAGAATTGGGGTGAATTGTGAGTCACCTGAGGAAGGAAGTATAGAAGGCCATAGACTAAGTAAATTTCTAATAAGTAGAGGTTGAAGGTTTTTTTCTGGGTAGGTTAGAAAAGAAAGAACAAGGCACTAATGGTCTAGTTAGTAGGAGTTGATGGATGACAAAGGGAAAGCAAAAATTGTCTTCTACTTTAATGAATTCTCTGGCAAGCATCTTGATTATAATAACAACTGTTCATTGAGCAATTACTCTGTGCCAAGCACTGTGCTAAGCACTTAACATTCATGATCTTACTTATTCATCACAACAATGAAGTAAAATAAATCCTATTCGTGTTGCTGTTTGTAGATGAAGAAACTGAAGCCCAGAGAACTGTAACAATTTGTTTGAGTTACCTAACCAGTTAGTGGCAGAGTTAGGTTCAGTTCTGGGACTGTCTATCTTCAGAACTCACATTATTGCTCCTGTTCTTACTAAAGGAAGTGGTCCAGAAATTAGCAGAATTTTACTGAAGTTCAGGAAGGTGAAGTATTTATAGGGATGGCCTAAATATTTCAAATGTGCTCAAGTCTGCTGATGAGGACAAATTATGCTCCAGGATTTCAGGGTAACTTACTAAATCTTCTAACTGAGATGTTGTTAAATAGAAGACAAATGCCAAAAGCCTGAAAAGGACAAGTGTCATTTTGAATTTGCCAAATGTGGAAGGTGATTAAAAAAACTTCAGATATCCTATAAGTACAACATCCAACACAGCACCTACTAGTCAGATGTGGCTATAAAGCTCTTAAAATGCGGCAAATGCAAATGAGGAACTACATTTTTAATTGAATTGAGGTGTGCTATAATTGTGAAATATATTCTCATTTTAAAGACAATATAAAAAAGAATGTAAAGTATTTCATCAATAATTATTTTATTTTTTAAAAAGATTTTATTTATTTATTTTTAGAGAGGGAAGGGAGGGAGATAGAGAGAGAGAGAGAGAGAAACGTCAATGTGCAGTTGCTGGGGGTTGTGGCCTGCAACCCAGGCATGTACCCTGGCTGGGAGTCGAACCTGGGACACTTTGGTTCCCAGCCCGCGCTCAAACTACTGAGCTACGCCAGCCAGGGCCATCAATAATTATTTTTATACTGATTACATGTTAAGTTGATATTTTAAGCCTTTTGTTAGACCATTGTCCCCATATGTCAAGGTTGCAGGTCTGATTCCTGGTCAAGGCACATACAAGAATCAAGCAAAAATGCATAGATAACTGAAACAACAAATTGACATCTCCCTGTCCCTCCCTCCTTCCCTTTCTCCCTCTGTAAAAAAAGTTTGATCAATCAAGAATATTTTAAATATATTAAGTTAAATAAAATATATTAATAAAATAATTGTGCCTTTTTATCTTTACCTTTTTACAATGGCTTCTAGTATAATTAAAATTGTATGTGCATCCAGCACTATATTTCTATTGAAAAATACTCTTCTAAAACATGATTAAGAAGGATAATATTAAACAATCACACATTTGATTAATAATATAATTAATTTATAAATAAATGAAGATATTAAGGATCATGGAGTTCTAACTTGGTTTCACTGAGAACAAAACATGTTAGACTAACATTTCCTTCTTCGACATGGGAACTTGGCCAATAAATCAAGGGAATCAAGAACCCTGGCCCTGGCCCTGACTGGCGTGACTCTGTTTTGGGCATCGTCCCACAAAGTGAAAGGCTGTGGTTCGATTTTCTGTCAGGGCACATGCCTGTGTTGTGGGTTCGGTCTCCAGTTGGGGTGGTTATGAGAGGCAATCGGCTGATGTTTCTCACTCACATCAGTGTTTCTCTTCTCTTTCGCCTTTGCTTCCCCTCTCTCTAAAAATAAGTAAAATCTTTAAAATAATAAAAGGGACCTGGTGTATCTGAATTTCAGTAAGGTATTTGATTTTTTCCTTTTTAGAAAATATTTTAACTAGTTATATATATATTTTTTATTATTTTTTACTTTTTTACATTTATGTACTATGTTATTATTAAAAGACAATATACATATCTTTATGCATTGGTACTCTTATTTTTGTAATTTATATTTCTTTTTTGTAAATTATGTTTCTTTTTTTCTCATTTATTGTATTACAGTTTTCCCAATTTTTCCCCTTTTTCCCTCCTCTACCCAGCCCACCCCCTGCTCCCACAGTCAATCTCCACACCATTGTCCCTGTCCACGGGTCATTCCTACATGTTCTTGGACTAGTCCCTTCCCCTTCTCTCCACCACTCTCTTCCCCCTTTCCTCTGGCAGCTGTCAGTCTCTTACATGTTTCAGTGCCTATGGTTCTATTTTGTTTGTTAGTTTATTTTGTTCATTAGATTCCTCTTATAAGTAAGATCATATAGTATTTGTCTTTCACCAACTGGCTTATTTCACTTAGCATAATATTCTCCAGTTCCATCTGGAGCTGTTGCAAAGGGTAGGGAGTCCTTAATGATGAGTATATGGACTGATTACAAACTAATTAAAAACCCATAATACTGAATAATGAATTTATTCAACTTGAAACTGATGTTTAGACCCACCGGGCTCTGAACTCTCTGGAGGTCCATATTTTCCATGAACTTTAGATGGAGATGTGGACCAATGCTTTCCTATTTGTGTGTGACCAAACTGGGAGATAGATAGAGTATTAGACAAGAAAACCAGGATCCCAAAAGACTTGAACAATGGCTTGAATTAAAAAAAAATTAGCTGAAATAAACATACTGTTTTTCATTCTAAATTCTCAACTCTACAGGTAGAGAATAGATGCAAAGTGACTTAACAGCTGCTGCATGTGAAAATTGGAGACTTAGATGACTACAAACATGACTTGTTGAGGGCAACAGAATTGTCAGAAAAGCTATGTGTATTTTACAATTTGGGGCTGGAGTCACAGAATTTTATAAGTACATATACCTCCAGATGTGACCATTTAAAGAGATATACTTTAGAAATCACTGTGTTTGTTTCTAGGCTAGGAGAACAAACACAGGGATTCTTACTGCTTTGACATAAATCCTCTTAAGAGAGAATGAAAGGAACTGAGAATTTTGATGTGAAACAAGACTACTCAGAGGACATGATAGCTGTTTCCAAATTTTAAAGCCCATGGTAAAAGAGGATCTGTTGTCTCTAAACACTTAAATTGCAGGGTCGTCTGTTAGAACTCACAGGAACTGGTTTTCTGTTTTTATGCATGAGACTTAAGTTTTATGAGCAATGTGACTTAAACCAGAGTATTTGGTCTCTGGTCCCACCTCCATCATGTTTTAGAAGGCAAGCTTTGGGCAACTCCTTTCACTTTGGTATGAATCAGTTTTCTCTCTTAAAAATTTGGCTATTGATGATTCCTCATTTTTTGGTTTAGTGAGGGTTCAAATAAAAAAAGAGCCTGAAGATGCTTTAGAAAATATAAAGCAACTGTACTCCTGTGCTTCTTTTTGTTTTTTAATCCTCACCCCAGGATTGATTTTAGAGGGGCCAGCAAAGACACATTGATTGGTTGCTTCCCATACATGCCCTGTCTGGGAATCGAACCTGTAACCTTTTGGTGTATGGGATGATGCTCCAACCAACTGAGCCACCCAGCCAGGCCTGCATGTGTTTCTTTGATCACAGCTGGCTAATTCTCATTACGAATGTGTTTAGGAGTTTCAAGCACTGTCCTGGTGGTTACACTGGCTTTAAAATTTAAGACCTTTGTACCCTAAGATGCAATGTATCCTTGCCCTGAGGTTTATGTCCTGGAGTTATGCCTTGCAAGTCATAAATGAGGTTTAGAGAGGCCAGGTAGTCTCATTTAGTAGCAATGTGGGGGCATGGTAAGTGAGGAGGGAGTGGGTGCTTCAGGGGAGTCTCTGTCTGTTGCAGGGTGAGGATTCCTCAGGCTGGGCCACAGTCCTGGCAGTGATCTGGATCCATGACAACTATAAGGATCTGAAATGTGAGTGGGAACTTCTAGAAAGGAAAGCTGTGACTTGGATTCACATCCATGCAGGTAGGAGCCCAATCCTCAGTCCTCACCTTCTTCCCTCCTTAGGAAGCTGGGCATCTTCACAGACAGGGGGCCTCCAAGTCTGAAAGAATGTGTCCAGGAGAGAAACACCATCTTCCATCCCCCTGACCATCCTGGTCCAGGCCTTTTCTGTTCTCCCAGCTACTGCGCCCCTTGGCAGAAGGGGCTTTGGTGTGACACTGGGGCTGGTGGGGAGGTATGTGAAGAGGGAAAGGGCTGTGGATGGGGAACGTGAATTGTGAAAAGGACATGGAGTGGCATTTACTCTCCTCACAGGTCAGTACAATGCTGAGTGTGAGACTGCACTCCTGAGAGTTTATTGTCCCACTACAGCTGACTGTTTCTGGGCCAGAGGAGAGTGATAGGAGTCTGGATGACCAGAAGCCAGGGGTACTGCAAAGAGTCAAAAGCAGGACTTGAGAGATGAGCAGGGAGGTTAGCGGGGACTGGGGGAAAGGCATGCATTCTTATTATTGCCCCTCAGTCCTCGTTTTTGTTTTCTCTTCTTAATAGGCTCCATCCGGCATGTGCTCATTGAAGCTGCCACTGCTCTTCTGAAATCCTCTGTTGATCCTGCTGTCTTTTCCCTCTGAGGATACCAACCAGAACAAGTTCCTCTTTTATGCTAGTGTCCTTTCCTTTACTACTTTTTTCTGCTGTCATGTGGCCATTTCTTGTCATAAAAGTAAAGGGTGCCCAGCCCACCTTGCTTCTGTGTCCCGGGTTCCCTATGGATGTCATTCTCCTTTCCCAGCACATGCCCTCAGAGTGACAACATGAAAAACAGGTAACAGGGACTCCAGACTAAAGGTTGCAGCATTGATGTTAGGAAATGCCTGAACTGGAAAATTCTGTATCATTTTTGTCTATTCGCTTTTGATTTTATGAAGTTATGCAACAAGACTGGTGCGCTATACAGGTTTCTATTCTTAGATAGGATGAGGGGTTAGAGGGAGGTTGAAAGCCGACACTGGGATTTATAACCTCAGGATGATAGAGAGAGCTGCAAGGGTCCACTTTGAGAGTGGGCACTGTTGATGAACTTCCAGATGAATTCTGCTTGGGCTTTACTAGCCTTTACTGCATGCCTAAGGGTTGAGTCATACCTGATGGAGACCGATATTCTTGATAGGGAACTGATGTGGACTCTAGCCAGCAGGGTCCGTGTGTTATGGCTGTGACAAACAAATCCACACAGACTGCAGAAATCCTGTGAAGAAAAAGGGACTGCATGGCCGCTCTCTAAGTGAGAGAGGGCCCCAACCCCGGCCTGGACAGGCTTTTACTGCTTTTCTGGGTACATTACACCGAAGATGGTCCTCATTTACTATGCACAGGTTTGCTTTAGGTGGTTACCCTTTACAGATAATGAAGTTAAGAATGCTGCTAATTACTTCAAAGAAAAGGATGTTTCAGATGCAAGGGGAAAAGTGGTTGAACTGGTTACACTCCATACTTGGGAGGTTTAGCACAGATTTTAGGAAGTTACTTTAAAGATATGCAGTAAGCATTTGCTGTCTCAAATCAGGGTGTGGGAGTTTTAGCAAAAAGCAAGCCTCAAAGCAGCCTAGGTACAACGCAGGCCTGATTCCCCATGGGAAAACCGATCAGGGGCTTGGCTCCTGTGTGCTGACTCACTCCCCATCAGTTTTCCAAATCAGGGTCTGGGCGACATTCTCCTAGCCACTCAGATAGGTTCCCTATAGGAAACATTTTAGTAAGAGTGCAATAATGGAATCCTGTCCTAGCATGGACCCATGAGGGCTCTAGTCAGGCTGTGATCTGGAATACTAAAAAAGCAGCTTAAATGACAGCTTTGCCCAAGACCTGAAGCCTGGATCACTCACTCTAAGAGAAAAAAAAGGAGCTAATTCTCTCCCACATACCCTACTTCAATGGAAATGACTGTATTTGATGCATTGTTTCCTAAAATACTGTTATGTCAATAATAAAATGACTATCTCTATACTGCACTTTGTTGTATCTGATCTTTTATGTTTTCATCATTGAATCTGCATTGGTTTTTGAGTTCCTTGTGTTCCCTCCCAACTTTTCTGATGCCTCCACACTTCACATGGAGTCCTATCCTCATACCTTCTGTTACAGGTTCTCTTCCTGTCTTAGATGCAGCAGATAAGGGGCCCTATCTAGAAACACACCATTAGAATCCTGACCATACATGTGTATGGTTATGGGATAATAAACAGATGATTCAACCCCTTAGCAACTTAGTGTCTCCATCTGTGAAACTAAATGATTAAATTAGAACTCTTGTGACTCTTCACCTTGAGTACACAAGAACTCTGATAGGACCTTGCTATCTGTTCACTAAGGCAGAGGATGGCCAAGGCCCGAGTTCCATGAAATTACGGACTAAACTGGTATTAGGAAGATTGTCCCAGCTTTCATCGTGGAGGCTGATCTCCCTGGACTTTCTTTGTAGTTTGCCTGTGGCTGAGAGTGACCTGTATAGGGCTTCTTAGAAAGGCAGGCTTTCAGGTAACCACAGAAACTACTGTGTTAAAGTGTTCACTTTAACAAAGTCTCCAGGTAATGTATATGCACATCAGAGTTGAAATGAAGACTTTTCATGAAATAGGCTGTATCTAAGTCTACCACATTGATAGGCCACACTGATGTAATGACAAGAGTTTCCTAAGGGATATAAACTGTGTACAACTACACTCTGCCCACAAAAGATAGTCTTTTACATTTACTATCCAGAGCAAGTATTATTACATTGTTTGCCTCCTCTTTTCTCATTCTTCAGCTTCCAGACAGGTTGGGTTCGGGGATTTCTAAATCAAAAAACAAAACAAAAACCATCAAGAACAGTCCTGATTCTGTCTTCTATGTAATGGAAATCAATGACAGTTTTTTTTAATATTTTATATTTTAGAGAGAGGGGAAGGGAAGGAGAAAGAGAAAAGAGAAACATCAATGTGTGATTGCCTGTTGCATACCCCCAAATGGGGAGCTGGCCTGCAACCTGCCAAGCATGTGCACTGGCTGGGAATTGAACCAGCAACTCCTTGCTTGGTTCACAGGCCCACACTCAATCCACTGAACTACACCAGCAAGAGCACAGCTACCGTTTTAGAATTATATGGTTTTAGTTTTCTATTTGAGCTCTTACGTTGTAAAATCTACCAACTGTAAATTCCTCAAATGTAAACAAGTGTCAGGCTTCATAATCAACAGACACATTTATTGAAGGCCACTTTCAGGGCTTGTTGCTTCACGTGTTAAGAACACATGAAGCAGCACCTGTGCTTTCAGAAACTACGTAATCATCTGGACAAGGAGCTCAAAGGAGAAGCTTTTTCATTTCTCCCATTGGCTGTCCTCATCCTGCAGTTATTTCCTGGCTTCCTCAGGCTTCACTGCTAGGATAATGTCAGACAGCATTGCCTCAGGGTCCTCCTGCCCAAACTGAGCCCCATGCTTCCAGTCCAGTTCCATGTACCACATACACGTAGGAATGAAACCCATTGCCTGTTTTCTCCAATTGCAACCCAACTACACTGTGAATCACGTAGCAGGTGCTGTTTCTCTCCTAACTCCCAGCCATTGCTTCCTTACAAACAGTCCATCTGTTTGAAGATTCTGATTGTCCAGATGAAAACCAAGAAAAAAGCCCATGCAGGGAGTTAACTCTATATTCTGTTTGTTTTTCATTTTGTTCTGTCAGTTTTTGGCTCAGCATTTTGATGTTCTCATGCTAAGGATATACAAATTTAAAATTCTGATCTTCTTAGAGAATTTGACACTTTTATTGTTATGTAATACATTTACCCTGATCATTTTCTTTGTTCTGAAATCGGCTTTGTCTAAAATAAATATAGCCACTCTAGCTTTCTTTGATTAGCATTAGCAAGGTATATAATTCTCCATCTGTTTAGATTTTTAAATTTTTAAATACTTTAATTATAATTGACATACAGTGTTATATTATTTTCAGGTGTACAAGAGAGTGATTATACATTGATACCATTTATGAAGTGAACATTCTGATAAAACTAGTATCCACCTGACATCACATATAGTTATTATAATATCAATGACTTATTCCCCATGTTGTACCTTACAGCCCCATGACTATTTTATAACTGCCACATTGTATTTCTTAATTCCTCCACATTCTTCACTCACCCACCCGCCAACCCTTCTTTTATCTGGCAATCATCAAAATGTTCTCTGTATTTATGAGTTTTTTATAGATCTGCTGGTTTGGAATTTATTTTATTTATGTATTATGTATGTATTTATTTATATATTTTATTGTTGTTCAAGTACAGTTTTCTGCCTTCCCCCCCTTCCCCACCACTCCAGCCCTCCCTACATCCTTCCACTGTTTCCACCCTCCTTGTTATTCCATGTGTCCTTATAATTGTTCCCATAAACCTTTCACCTTATTCCCCCATTATTCCCTACCCTCTCCCTTCTGGTCAGTGTGAGCCTATTCTCAATTTCAATGTCTTTGGTTATATTCTGGTTGCCTGTTCGTTTGGTTGATTATGTTCCAGTGAAAAGTGAGATCATATGATATTTGCCCCTCACTGCCTGGCTTATTTCACTTAGCATAATGCTGTCCAGTTCCATCCATGCTGTCAGAGAAGGTAGGAGCCCCTTCTTTCTTTCTGCTGCATAGAATTCCATTGTGTAAATGTCCCATAGTTTTTTGGTCCACTTATTTGCTGATGGGCACTTGGGTTGCTTCCAGCACTTGGCTATTATAAATTGTGCTGCTATGAACGTTGGGGTACATAGATTGTTTTGGATAATGTTTCAGGGTTCTTAGGATATAATCCCAGCAGTGGAATTGAGGGATCAAAATGCAGCTCCATTTTTAGTTTTCTGAGGAAATTCCATCCTGTTTTCCATAGTGGTTGTACCAGTCTGCAATCCCACCAACAGTGTATTAGGATTCCCTTTTCTCCACAACCTCTTCAACACTTGTTTGTTGCTTTGTTTATGTTGGCCATTGTGAACAGTGTGAGGTGATATCTCATTGTGATTTTAATTTGCATCTCTCTGATGGCTAGCCATCAGAACCATCAGAGAGATGGCTCTGAGCCAACTTTTCATATGTCTCTGACCCCTCTGTATGTCCTCCTTGGAGAAGCTTCATTGCAAGTCCTTTGCCCATTTTTTAATTGGGTTCCTTGTCTTCCTAGAGTGGAGTTATGTGAGTTCTTTATATATTTTGAAGATCAAACCGTTGTCTAACGTGTCATTAGCAAATATGTTTTCCAATATGGTTGGTTCTTTTTCATTTTAAGGCTGTTTTCTTAGCCATGCAGAAGCTTTTTATTTTAATGAGATCCCTTTTGTTTATTCCTCCTATATGTCCCTTGCTCTAGGGGACATACTGGTGAAAATGTTGCTCCGTGGAATAGCTGAGATGTTCCTGCCTGTGCTCTCCTCTAGGACTTTTATGCTATCACAACTTATATTTAAGTCTTTTATCCACCTTGAGTTTATTTTTGTGTATGGTGTAAGTTGGTGATCAAGTTTCATTTTTTTGTATGTAGATGTCCGGTTCTCCCAACACTATTTGTTGAAGAGGCTATTTTTACTCCCTTTTATGCTTCTGCCCCCTTTGTTGAATACTAATTGAGCATAGAGACTTGGTTTTATTTCTGGGCTGTCTAATCTGTTCCATTGGTCCACATGTTTGTTCTTATGTCAGTACCAGGCTGTTTTGATTACAGTGACTTTGTAATACAGTTTGTTATAAGGTATTGTGATCCTCCCTACTTTGCTCCTTTTCCTCAGAATTGCTGCAGTATTCAGGGTCATTTATGGTTCCATATAAATTTTTGGAATGTTTGTTCTATTTCTATGAAGTATGTCATTGGTATTTTAATGTTTGCATTCAATCTTTTAGTTGCTTTGGGTAGTGTGGAAACTATGACAATGTTAATTCTTCCAGTGCATGAACACAGTATACAAACACTGGCTATTTCCAGTGACAAAGAGCTAACTACTTTACAGGGTTGCTTATTTCATTGCTATCCATTTAGATGTACATCTAATAATTAAGCACTTTGTGTCTACATTGAAAATAAATGTCTTTTGCCCTGGCTGGCATAGCTCAGTGGATTGAGTGCGGGCTGCGAACCAAAGTGTCACAGGTTCGATTCCCAGTCAGGGCATATGCCTGGGTTGCAGGCCATGACCTCCAGCAACTGCACATTGATGTCTCTCTCTCTCTCTCTCTCTTTTTCTCTCCCTTCCCTCTCTAAAAATAAATAAATAAAACCTTAAAAAAAGAAAGAAAATAAGTGTCTTTCTGCTATGTCTGCCCATAGTTCCTAAGGCACCACATAGAATAGTGCTTATCAAATTTCTACCAGCCCTTCAGGCATTTCAAGACCATAACATATCTCTGCCGCTTTTTGAATATAAAACAAGATCTCTGGAATTTACAAGATAAAGCTTGAAAGCATTGGTTTTGAAATTAAAGAGTAACTTTCTAGTTATGTCATCATCAACTTATCTAA